TATATTAAAAAAAATTAGACAATAAAAAACTTAAAATGGAATTGAAACAAACATGAAACATTTAGAAAACAATAACAATTTTGAAATAGATGTTACCTTAGATTTGTCCTTCTCTATAGTGTCCTGAACCACCAAATCATCAAAATGTTGACCAATCTGCAGTCCCTATAACAACATATAAAAAAAAATATATTGAAAAAGAACATGATAACTGAATGTTGCATTTTAAATAAAATATAAAAAATTTATGATTTAAAACAATGAAAAATATAAAAAAACAACATACTTGTTGTTGATGAATACAATCCATATTAACATTAGAATTGCCCTCAGAACAATCTTCATGGGCCTTGGTAATAGACACAACAGCACCGTCAATAACCTTTGGGACATTTTTTTTGTCAGATAATAGTTTCAAATGTGGAGGAGTCAGATGTAAATCCGCAGTTATGGCATCAAAATTTGGAGTAGACGTGTCATAATCATTGTCATGAAGATTGGGTGGGTAAGTAAGATTCCACCCCAATTTACGTGGGATAATCTGTTTGGAAACATTGATCTTGGCCTACATAATAATACAATTTTAAAAATATATATATATATATATTATGAAAAAAAATAATACAATTACTTTAAAAAAGCGATCTTGATAACCTTATATCCGATTGATGAATTTCGTTTACGAATACTCTCATCTGCCAACTTCTGGAATTCATCAAAGATCTCAGGCGTAATTTCAAAGTCTTCCAATGATTGATCTCCATTAAAAATTGGAGAACAACATTTAGGATCGGCAGGCTTATTCAAGTGAAAATCATTACCCTATAAAAAAAAAAATATACATACAAATGGATACAACAGAAACAATGTCCTTCAGAAAAGTAAATTAAGTAATTAAAAGAAAAATTAAATGAAAAAAAAAACTAACCAACAAAAGTGGAACAAACTCAGCATTACTTTCAGTGGTATCCTAAGAAGAAATAATTTGAAAATTAACAAGGTAAATGAATAGTTATTTTTAAAATAATGAAGACTAAAAGTAATATGTAAATGGATTAAAAAAAACATAAAACCAACCAAAAAATAACTGACCTTGTGAACTAAATCAACATCATCAGCAGGTAAATCCCTAAAGCGAACTTTTTTTTTTTTTGAAAACCTTTTACTTTCTGATATATATATTATAAATTTTAATGAAAAAAAAATTAGTATGTAATGAAAAGATTAACATCTTAAATAAGAAAGAACATATTAATAATAATAACTGATTAACTTGCCTTATCAACATTTGGCTCTTCGTCCACATTAGTTTCAGTCATTTGAACATCAGCCAAACCTTGAACCTATTGTTGGTAGATTAAAAATGGCAAAACAAAAAATGATAAATAGTACATCATAACCAGGAAAATTCGTAAAAGCAATTTTTTTTTTTTTTTAAAAAAATATGTCATACATTAGGATATATAATGTAAATAATTTGAATGATAGTAAATCGTAAGTAAAGAAAAGATTTACATTTTTAATGAAAAGAAACATAATATTTATAATAGTTGAATAACTCACCTTAAGAACATTTGCATCTTCCAAAACATTTTTTACAAAGTTTGTAACATCATCAGAACCATGAACCTATTAATCAAAGAATAAAATTATATAACTATTATTAAGTAGAAAAAATTGTAAAAGAAAACATAAGAATAAGATTAATTGAATGAATAACCTTTTCTACATTTTGCTTTTCAACCAAATTATTTTCAGAAGTTAGAACATCAGTAGATCCTTGTCCCTAATGTTGTGAAAAATAAAATTTGGAAGAAAATAAAGAAGATTAATCAATTATTATTAAATATTTATATACTTAATAGGAAAAAAAATATTTAACTTGCCTTATAGACATTAACTAATTGATCAACATTGAACAAAAATATTTAAAAAATATCTCAAACCTAAAAATTAATATAATCACTAACATTAAAATCAGTAAGATGATTGATATCTTAAAAATAAGGTGTAAATTAAAAAAATAACAGGAAAAAAACCCAGAAGCAACATAAATTAAACAAACCTTATCAATGAAAACAACATCCTCCTCATCAGAATCTTGAACATCAACTTCAGCAGATTGAGAAACAATTACTTTAACAGGATTTGAAGCAACAAGGTTATCATGATCACCAATCTAAATAAAAATAAATTTTCTTTAAAAAGATTGTAATGTGATTTATTAATCAACACACATGAAGAACAATTGTACAACAATGAAAAAGAAGTTCTAATAGAAATCAATACACTATATAACGTGCCTTACAACCATCATCACAGTCAGGGATAGGAATTTGAGTAACATTTTCCTGTGCACCACTTTGAAACATATCAGTGTGGAACTCCTTGAAATGATCATCATCAACATTCACATTATTATCCATCATGCCACGCAATTCCTTTAATACAAAAAAGAAAACAAAAGTATAAGATATAATAAATAAAACGACTAGTAAAAATAAATAAAAATTTTACCTTCAACGTAGAGTGAACAACTTTGAACTCTTCAAACACTTTTGCAGAGAAATTGTGAAATAAAAGCTTTAGGCTATTGCAATCAGCTTGTAATTGCAACTGACCAGACACAAGATTACGTATTTGTTCATCAAAGTTGTTCGAAGTCGATGTTGCAAAACTAGCATTATGCCTCAGATCTCCATGACGAATGAATTCATTGTTTTTATTAAAAAACTTATCCAGATGCAGCCTTTCGATCTCTTCCACAGTTGGAACAATATTTGAGAACTATGTTTAAAAACACAAGCAGCAATAAAAAAAAAATACGGAATCTAAGTTATCAAAAACATGAAAGAAAATATGATAAAAAAATATATAAAAACCTGATCATGGTGAAGGGAGAAAAACTTTCTAACAAGAAATCCTCGGTCAAAAGAATTATCACACTTCCATTTCAACATCCGAGGAATCGTAGAAATCAAGGAATCATCTTTCAAACAAATGAGTCCCGAAGCATTGTTACAAATTTCATAAAACCACCATTGAAGCACAACAATAAGACCCCGACACTTATTGTAAACAGAAGTCTTAGTTTCAGAAATCTTCCCGACTATATGCGAAATAAAGTATTCAAATATCTCTTTACCCCAAGGATAGTCATTACAATCTTCACTATCAATTATAGCAACATAGTTAAGATCAAACCCAACAGTCGGTTCA